TATATATATATATATATATATATATATATATATATATATATATATAGTATATATGTGCATAGAACCATTCTACCTCAGGATTTTTTGCCATAAGAAATTATATATATTCTATATTCTATATTTTACATCTTTTTTTCATTTATATATAAAATGTATATATATAATCTAATTATTATATATTATGATCGGATTTATATATTTTTTAAAAATTTCATGTAGTGAGAAATCCTGAGGTCAGTTGGTTTTGGTTCTAGGGCTGGTTAATTCACAAACTCCAGGACAGTTCTTTGTGTCATTCAGTCTATCATTCAGTCCAGTTCTTTGTGTCATTCAGTCTATCATTCAGTTCAGCCAATATCAGGAAACTGACTTTGTCCTCAGCGGTGCCAGTCCTAGTTACGAAATGGCTGCCACAGTTCCAGGCACTACAGGCACATAAATTATATGTCCGGGGATTAAAAGAGAATCTCTTCCTATGTGATTCTTTTTAAGAGCAAGAAAACAGTTCCTAAAAGCCCACAAGTAGGTTTTGTCCCACTTCCCCTTGGCCTGAACTGTGTCAGAAACCCAGGTCAGCTTAGGTCACTCACTGGCAAGAGAATAAGCAATCAATTCGTTTCAGATAAGAGGACAGGTTAGAGTATACTGTGGTAACAACAACAACAACATAACAAATCTCAGTGTCTTGAAGAAACACAGATTGCTTTTTCATTCACTCAGAATGCTTTGTGAGTCTGGGGTACCATCCAGGGCTGTTTCCAGCCTTCATCTCCACAGTAACATCTCCACAGTAACCCCCATCCCCACAGTTGCCATGGCCTAGGACGAGAGGAGCTGGATCAAATACCTGTACCAGAAATGATGATATACTTTGTTCTGCTCACTTCTCATGGGCCAGAACATTTCCTGTGTCACGTGGCCACATCGAACTTCAAGGAGGCACTTAGGAATAATTCTCATGTGTGCCTGGAGGGGGAAGGGAACAAAACCCTGTGAGCAAGACAAGATCAATAATTGGTATATAGCCTGGTTTGAGGGCACTATCAAATTGGGTTAGAATTGTTTATAATGGTCTCCAGTTTGTCCTAAAAAGCAACTTATCAGAGTTTATCCCATGAGTGCTAATTGTTGACCTGTAAATGATACATAAGCTACATTTGTTTTTGGATAGTTCCTTTTTTTTTTTTTTCAAATGTTCACATCCCTGACTTTTCTCCCCTCTCTTTTTCCTTCCCACCAGGGTTCACACCTCCAGGAATGGACAGATCCTCTCCAGATAACAGCCCAGTGCACGGGATGTTACGCCAGCCATCCATCACAACTGGAGTCAACATCCCCATCATCACTGAACTAGGTAGGGGTGAATGTCAGCCATGGGTGGATTTATTTTGGTCCTCTCTTCCTACCATGTAGGATATGAGCAGGTTGGCCCAATTTTTAGCTCCTTCAGCATAGTAGGCTGTAGTGGGGTTTGTTTTGAGGGCGGTCAGAGAGAGGTCTGAGTACAAATATATCCGGTTACCAAAAGGAAAACTGATCTAGCTTTCCTCTGAGATGCATAGACAGTTTACTTCATGCTGGTCACTTTTCAAAAGAGCATGACACAATGGATTTGAGATTGGGGCATCAATTAGGGAAGTGGGAGGAAGGGAGGGAAGGCATAGTCCATGGACTCTTGCAATTTTCATTGGAAGCAACTCTGGACAGCCCCTACAATCAGAACCCATTCTGAGAACTAGGGAGATGCATTGAGCTAATGCGTCATAACCCTATGTTTAATCTATCCTAGTTGAACTTCTCAGACAAAGGCCATTTTCAGCGAATGCCACTTGGGTCCAAAAAATGATGGGGTTTTTAGGTCCACAATTGTTAGCTATGGAATCCAACTTTTAACCTGTCCATGGTGCTCCCTGCTACCACTTGTGAATTTGCAAAACTGCTGAGTGGTCTCTACTCTCCAAGACAAGTACTAACTGTCTATGGTCCTGGTACTGGGTCCCTTTACTTTAGATTGTTTCCTTATTCCCTCACTCTTGTCTTTTTCTGTACTTTCCTCCAATCCCTTTCCCCGACCCTTAAATGCTGTATCCAATTAGCTAAACCTGGCAAGTTGCCTTTGGTATCAGTCAATCAGGAAAAAAACAGTGGGACACACATTCTAATGATAACTGAACTGGGTAAGAAGCACTGTTTTCCTTCACATCAGTATCTCCTTTTGTTCTGTTGTTGGTGTTTCCAACCATCATCAGCTTGTTTTTTATTTCACTGGCTGTAACAGAAAGGCTACCCCATGGCACTGCTTTGAATGTGTTTTATTTGTGGCTCTGGTTGGAATCGACTGTCTTGTTCTGGCCTTTCTTAATGATTTTTTTCCCCACACAGCATCAGTAAACCTTTGATCACACCCATCTGACCTGGCAGTTGTTTTCAAAGCATCTTTGCTCTAATTCATTTTCTTTGGCCTGAGCCCTTTTTTTTTTCTTTTCCATGTGTCCCCCTGCTCTCCCGCCTTCTCCCTTATACGATTCCTCTTCCAACAGACTGTCAGTTTGACTGACATGTCTTCACAGCTCTCAGAGAAAGTCAAAGGAGGAACATAAAAATTTTAAGATAAGAAACCTAAGACAGTGCCTTCCCTCCAGCTGTTTATTTTCCTTTATTCTGACTTTATTTGCCTTTTTTTTCATACTAGGCCCTTTCTCAGAAGCTCTGGTTTTGAAGCCATAAAAGCAGCTAGCTCCTAGGGGACCTTTTCTTACTAACGCCAGGTTTCAGGAAGGGTGCGAAAGATGAGGTTAGTAGCCACTGAGGCACGGCCCTGCACTCTGACCCCCCGCCCTGCTGGCCCAGAGCGGGAGCGTCAGAGTGGACTCATCAGGAAGATGAAGGGCTTGGTCATGGCTGCATTTGTCAGGCCCTTCCACAATTCCCCATAACTTGGGTCTCAGAATTGGGGATTGATCTTCTAAATAGAGACAGCAAAAGTGCTGCTCGGGAGAGAGGTGGGGAGAGAGGTGGGGAGCACCTGCCTTCAAACGTCTCACAAATGAAACTAACATGCCATTCTCTTGGCCCCAAAATATATTTCAAAATAAGAGAGCAGCTTTTAACACAGTAATCTTGCTTGCGAGGTGTCTAGAAACTAAGAAATAAATTGTCCACCACTCAACACTGCATTAGTGTAGACGTAGCTATTTATCAGGACAAATTCACTCTGGTCAAGGAGGACCACACTATTTTTTGTTTCCAGCGGTAGAAGCGGTGTCTTTGTCATGTTTAGAGGAGTTGGCTGAAAGCCTAGGTTTCTGCACTGTTTTCCTCAGGACCTCAGTTTTGTAGGAAGCCCAGCGAGCTCGTGCAGCCCAGACCTCTGGTTGGAAAATTCATCCAAACCTCCCCATCTCAGAAACCTTTAGAAGCATTTCAAAATCATCACTGCCAGGGATTTCTTTTTCTTTTTGGGGTTCATGGGCTCCAACTAGCTAGGATGTCTTGATTTGTGATTAGCGGAAGAGAAAAGAAAAGGCCTGGTGTCCCAACTCTGAGGCAAAAATTCAGGCATTCGACGAGTATCATTGAATCTCCTGAAGCCTTTGTTCCTCACCAGATGTCTTCCATGAGCTCAGAGAACCTTCCATGTGTCCCCGTCACCCTTACCTTCTGCCTTAAGCCCGATTTTTCTAGTGGTCATACCGCCTCTGGCAATCATACCATCATCCGCTGACCACGTTACCTCCCGGCATCCCCACAAATATTTACTATTTACCTACATGTTCTGAGGTGTGTTCTGCATTATGCCAAGCAAGAAGAATGCCTTTTGAAAACCACAGAGGATGCCAAGGTCAAACAAGTTTTTAAACTGTGTAGTGTAGTCCAGTCTTCATCCATATGAAGAGTCCCAACTGATGTTGGTGGGTCAAAGGCCCCTAGAAGTTCCACAAGAGGGAAATTTGTTTAAAGCTGTTCAACCTGTTTCCCCATTGTATTTGACCTCATACAAGTTGGGGTGATTGCTTTAATTACCTGTTAGCACCCACGTAAATACTGTTCTGTGAAATAGGCTTTGGTAACACTGGCCATTCTCTCTCTGAGACTGGAGAATCCAGAAAAACACACAGGGTTTTCTTATGCCTTGGAGTTCTTTCCCAGTGACTCAAACCCCCTAGCTGGCTGAAAATCTAGCATCATTTTTCTCTACATGGGGCCATGTCCCCTCCAAGTCTAGTTCCAACCCTTTCTCATTGTCTTGAAAAGGGGTACCGGACTCTATTCTTTTTGGAGTGTCCGTGCACACACCTTCCTTGGCTATTACAAATCATTAAAACCACACCCCACTGCATGTTGTCAGGAGTTTACATTTTCTGATTCACAAAGCAGGAAGACTAAACTTTGGCCCACAGCATGCTTTTGGGTAAATGGATAAGGGGAGAAAGCTACAAGTTGACCCTAATAGGATATCTTAGCAAGGCCTAAGTGCTGTTGAGAAGAGTGGAAGGAAGGTGGGCATTTCCATAATGTAGTGGGCAGACAGAACATTTAATGTCAGAAAGGCTATCCTGAGAGCAGCCAACGTTTATCAAGGTATCAGGCCAGGCTCACCAAGCACAATGTCACAGGTTCCTCCTGACAACCTCATGCTGTTATGTCCCCCATCTCACAGAGAGAGAAACTAAGGTGTAGAACAGATGAAACGTTTTACTCAAGGGAGTTAGTGCAGAGCCTGGATCCAAAGCCTAGTGCTCAGATCCTGCATTTTCCACTTTCACTCACTAACCTGTAATTCAAGTGCTGCTGAAACGATGGGCACCCAGGTGTGATCAACTTTGGGAGAACAGCACAAAGATGTCTCCCCATTAGAATCTTTCTCTAGGGAAACAAGATGGTGTCATTTAAAAATGATGCCTGGCTTTTAATCCTATTGTCATTTATTCTGCCTCATACAATAAACAAACAGAAGTTAGAGAAAGAAAAGTGGTCTAAACAGTTACTTTTGGGAAAAAAATTAAAACAATAACTCTAGGGGAAAAGAATTAGCTGCTGATCCATTTAGAAAGGCATCCGAAGAAGGAAACCTCATCTATTCTTTTCCTAAAAATGTGAGAATTATTTCAGAAATCATGAGCACTCATCTCCTCCCCCTCCACCCACTCCCCCCACCCCTCCACCACACACACACACACACACACACACACACACACACATTATTTGCTCTACAAAACTGATCATTTCTGAAGCCAAGATGGGAATGGAAATTAATTTGTCATTTAATTTTTAATAAGTTAAAGACATCTCAGTGACACAGCCAATCAGTCTGTACACGTGTGCCGGAGGAGTCCTTGAGGAATCCTCAGATGGAAATAAAACCCAGCATCAAATGCTGCAACTGATTGAGCTGAAGCGCAGAAGACTGAGCTGTTTAGAAGGGGAAAGGGAGAACGTGGGCATCCCTACGTGCCTCGGGTCACAGAGCGAGTCTTTGTCAGAGACAGCCTGGGATTCGTCCCACGTGGGGTTGCCTTTGAGTTAACCAGAGCCTGCTGGGTGTGGGCCGTGGACACCAGCTACCATCCACGCCCACCCAGGGCAGGCTGTGGGTCATGCCTACAGGGGAATTCCACACCCTTGCCGCTGCTGTGCTCCTAGTCAATTGCTCTTCACTCTCAATAAGTTGCTTTCTTTTCCTTGTGGCTAAACTTACCTTTCCAGCATGGCTACGCGTGGCTTCTCGTCCTTGAAATATATCCATCTCTCAAAGGACTTGGCTGCCAAAAAACACTTCAGGATGTTTTTTGGTCGTGATTCTAAAACTATACCAAAGGACTGACCAGCACTGTCTACTAGTCCACCGGCGGCTGCCGTGGGGCAAGCCTGCTTGATCTCATCACTCTCCAGGCCTCAGAAACTTGAACAATCTCAGAGGAGCAGTCCATTGAGTCCCACTGACCCCCACCCCCAGATCCATCTACGGCTTCTCCCATGCTTTTCTTTCCTTTTAGTGACTTCAGTGTTTCTAAATCACTAGCCTGCTGTTTCTCTGGCATCGTTGCCTGTGTGTGGTCTTTTGAGCTAATTCTCATTTTACGCTTTTTCTAGTGAACGATACTAATGTTCAGTTTTTGGACCAAGATGATGACGATGACCCCGACACAGAACTGTACCTCACGCAGCCATTTGCATGTGGGACAGCATTTGCCGTCAGCGTCCTGGATTCTCTCATGAGTGCGGTGAGTGGGGGAGGGGGAACGCCCCAGAGTGGAGCACCTCCAGCCTCCCACACGAGAGGCACAGAGCTGGAGCTTGAGCTATGGGGGAGGGCACAACCACACAAAGCTCGCAATCTGGAGTGATCAAATGATCATGCAAAGAAACACTTGATGATTAATTCTTGAAAGTGCAAGGAAGGCTATGTATAAATATAGGGGAGCACTTGAACTGGTCTTAGGTTTGGAGAAAGATTCCACAAGGAAATAATTACACATTTTATGCCAAATCTGAGCAATAAAGATGGGGGGATTTTGTGGGGAAGGATAGCCCCTGAAGAAGGAAAGCAAATGGAAAGGCCCTCAGCTGGGGGAACCTGACAGTTTCAGGAAGCCAAAGTAAACCTGAGTGGCTGGACCACAGTGAGCGAGGGAAAGGGGGGCGTGAGGCAAAGTTGGCCCTGCAAGACCTCAAACCCATTTTCATGGCTTTGGTCTTTTCCCTAAGAGCAATGGGGAGGCATTGAAGGGTTTTAAGTTGACAGGTGATGTGATCAGGTTTATGTTCTAATGGGATGCCTCCGCTGGGGTGTGGAGGATGGGTCAGGAGGCAAGATGGCAGAGTAAGAGGCCCTCAAAGCTTAGACTAGGGTAGAGCTGGAGGGAGGTGGATGGATTTGAGTGATGTTTGTCAGTAAAATTGATAGGACTTGGTAATAGATTGAATATGAGCCAAAGGTGGAAGAGAACAAAGTGTCAAGGGTAACTCCTAGGTCACTGCCAATCACAAGTCCTGGGAGAGGACCAGGCCTGAGAGCCAGGCGTGGCCTGTTCTGTGCTACAGGGAAGGACTAGAGTGGAGGGTCAGCTGGCCGTGGGATCAAAACCATCTTCGGTTTCTTTTATAACCTGATGTGCATTGCTTTTCCACCTTTGCGACCAATACAACAACAGTTAAAAACTAGATCCCAGTTTAATGGAGCCATCCTTAACTGTAAAAGGTAAAAGCAGACGTAAGAATGGATCATAACCTGAGGATTGTGACGTGTTCCCACTGAGTGTCTTTATCTATTATATAGAAAAGACCCTTTATTCTGGAATTCATGATTTGTGAAACTCCAGACATAGGCTGGATAAACACTGACCTTTGGAGAGTCCACGAAAAAGAGTTTTATTGAACACATTAAAACCATAAATGTAGCTCGGAGTGTCCATACACATACATTCCTTAATGTGCTTAAGAAGGCTATTCTCCTGAATGTGTTAAACAACTGATATGCTAATTATGCATTATTCTCATCTATTCTTTAACGCTAATCCCAGAAGGACCTCAATTTGAAGAAAGAAAAAAAACAAAGCTTTTTAAGACTAATTTAGTTATTCTGTATTGCTGAATGTGGTCCAACTGTAAGCATATCTTAGTTAGGAATCAGAACTATGGATTTAAAAATAATTGTGAAACAACATTCGTCTGGATTAAGGTTGACTGGGCTCCGTGCCACACCATTGCTTTCCAAGCCAAGGAGGAGAATAATACAGTCTCTAGAGAGGGCACTCATGGTTTCCCATCTTCTGATCTTCCTCATGGCCTGGGGATACTGAGCCTAACCTTTCTACCTGCTAGTGGTGTCCAGCTCAGTTTGGGCAAACTCCTTAAGCAGGCCAGAAGGAATAGTAGAAGCTACTGGATATGCTCCTGACACCACCATGCTATGGTCTTCATAATCTCCAATTCAGCTTCAAACAGAATTCTGTAATTCATCTCTTTAAAAATTTCACTTTACTTGTGATCCTCATTAGAAAGATTCCAGAAGCCTAGTCTCTCTAAGAAATGACTAAACTGTTTATAATACTTTTTTTTTCAGAATTGCAAAATACTTTATTAAAATTGTTTACAATTCAAATGTATAAAATTGCTAAGTTTTTACATATCAGGCATTCAGTATAATTCAGGCAGGACCAGCTACATAGTTTGCAAGGCCACTTTTGAATAAATTATTAAGAGTTTCAAAATGGTGACAGCAGAGCATTAATCCAAGTAAGGGGCCCTCTGAGCATGGGCCTTGGGCCACTGACTGCACAGTCCACACACTCCTGAAGCCAGCCCTGGTTCCACGGAGTAAAACTGGTTTTAAGCACCAGAGAACTTCAGCTCTGCACAGCCCAGGGGACAGATACATGGTCGCCATGGGGTGGGAGTGGGGGCACATCTGGATTGAATTGCACAGCTATCTGTCTACAGTATCACTAGGGAGTCAGTGTTTAGAAACTCAGATGAGAAATCAAAGTGAGTAGTTTGAATTTTTTTTAAAAAAAGCCATCTCTAATCTCCTTTGAAATGCAAACTAAAGTACTTGGGAGAAAGTGGCAAAGGCATGTAAGGGTACCATAGTCTGAGAGAAGTACTTCTTCTGAATTCCAGCCTGGGCAAGAAGGGTGTCAGGAATCTAGTAACTGTCGTTGTAATTATGGTCTGCAGCATCATTTCCTGAGGGCGCAGAATGGTGGGAGACACTTGGGCTATAGTATCTGATTTTGGGGGCAATAATATGAAGAAAACTGGTCTAAGTGTTGAAGCAAGACATATTTAACTGACCCACTGATAGCAACTTTTCAAATCATTAACCAAAACGCCTATACAATTATCCAGGCCTTAGTTCCATTGCCTACAGTGAGTAAGTTTCACAATAAAGTCTTGAATTGGATGTGGTCCAACAGATCCAATTGGATCTGGACCTCATAAAAGCCTGTTATTTCTTTGCATTCCACCCCAAACTTACTTTATTTAAAAAAAAAATATATATATATATAGAAGGAACTAACAGGGTGGGCAGCAATATAAATTGACAAAGTGGGGCTCCTCAAGCAGCAGGAGCCAGAGGTAAGCTTCCATCTCTGGCATTCTCTTACAGGCAACATCATGGCATTCACACATTTCTTTAGATGTCGGCGCGCTCCTTTTTCTTGCGCTCCTCCCCAAATTGCCATTTAATCATGTGTCTAAACATTCCCTGAATATTGTCCTTTAGAACTCAACTCCTGCTGCTTATTGCTTCATTTGTTACAAGAATAATGTTTGGATTCATCACAGGCATTCCTGGGACAGACGGGATGTTACAGACAAGGCCTCGTGGCTTTCTCCTGCAAATCAGCAGCAGAAACACGTGATGAGAGGGAATAATTATGCTTATGGGTGTATGCCTCTAAGAATATCACAAGTAAGAAATGTATTTTTCAGAATGATACCAACTTACTGCACGCACGCGCACACACACACACACACACACACACAGATGAAAGGAAGCTGAAATGGGCACATGAGTATTCAGATTTCTTTTCAACACAGCCACCACTTACCCCTACCATCACCCCCTATTGGAGTTCTACCTGGACCCTTCCTAGAAAGAGAAAATAATTCATGGACTCAAGAGCTAAACTGCTTGGATACAGATCCCAACGCTGCCATTTACTGTCTGTGTAACTGTAACCTCTCCGTGTGCCTCAGTTTTCTCATCTTTAAAATTGGGATAACAATAGCACCTACCTCACAGGATTGTTGAAATGATTAAATGAGTTAAGATTATAAAGTGCAGAACTTAGTACATAACAAGCTCTATATGTACTTATTGTTATTAATCTATACATTAATTGGGCACTTACTTCATGCCAGGCACTATTTCCCATGCTGGGGAAATAGTGAAGAAGACAGAGGAAGACTGCCCTCATGTTGTTTGAGCTTTCATTCCAGTGGGTGGTAACTATGGGATTGACGGTCACTATGGAAGTGAGTGAGCACGACTGTCAGATAGGGATAACTGATCTGAAGCACATGGAATAGATTGAGTGGATGTGGACACCAGTTTTAGCCAAAGTGGTTCAAGTCAAGCTGTCTCAGGCCGTAACTGACCCTGAAAAACCAGAAGAAGAATGTACCTAGAGGTAAGGGTGACTAGCTTTCCAGGTAGAAGAAAGAGCAAGGGCTGAAAAGTAGTGACGAGCTGGGTGTAGTTTGTCTGAGGAGGGAGTGGGTGACAGCCGTCATGGCCGGAATGCGGTAGATAGGGGACAGGGATACACAAGAAGCAGCTAGACGGGCAAGGCCATCGGCCTCCCCGTGAGTATGCTGAGTCCAAAAGACCACGCCTGGTGAAATTTAAGTCTGGGCATAGACACTTCCGCCTTGGTTAGAGGATGATGCACCCTCTCGTGGATACCACCAGCATTCTTATAATGCCACTGGAGAGTGTGACCATCTGGAAGATGGACTCATATGATAGACTCTCTTTAAATGTACTTGCATTAAGGGCTGGACTCCTGAACTGTGTTATGAAGAAGACCACATTCTTGGTTAGCCCAGACTGACCCAGTGCCATGTGAAATAAGTCACCTAAACAAATTATTCCCCCGTGACCCTATCCCTTACACTCCATTCAAGAACCTCCATTTCCACTGCTCACAAGGGGAGGACCAGCCATGGGACATCCCGAAGCAGCTGAGCTAGCATCGGTGTCAGTGTGACAAACAGTAGTTACGTTCTGTTAGACTCAGAACATGCCGCCACTGTCACATCAGGCCACACAGGCCTGGGATTGAAAAAAAGAAAAAAATCAAATAGTTCTCATCCCTCATGAAAGAAAAAATACTAAAAATAAAAATCTACACCATGAAAATGAGGAAATATAAAAAATGGCAGCTGTGACATGGAAAATGACAATTTTAGCGCAATTATAAACGAAAGGCAAAGTGCCATTAAAGTTAAGGCAATGTTATTAAAAGATGTGTTAATTTTCAGTTAAATTTTCTATAAAGGACCAATTAGTTTAAAAGGCTTGACAGCATTAACTGTGAAACATAAGCTCTGGTAATTATACTTTAAAAAAATAAAAAGAGGAAGATACTCCAGCGTGTTGGAGACACACGTGCAGAGGGGCGTCCGCAGAGCGGGCTAGATGGCGCTGTGGGCTCAGCTTTCCCCGCTGCAATCACTTGGTCCCTTCCCCAGCGTTTCTTGGTTCCCTCAAAGC